GGTGTGCGGATCAATGCTGAGTCTGCACTGAGTGTCATGCGCAAGGCCTGTGAATACCTCAACATAGGCCGCTCAGGGGGCAAGGCAAAGGTCTACAAACGACTGTGCGAGCATCTCAAGAGGTTGCAGCTAGCGGAAGGTGTGCGCATGAAGCAGGACAAAGCTCAAGCCGAGGCGCGTGAGCCTAACCAGGTTCCGCTCGTGCAGGAACCCACCATGCATGAACGATTAAAGCACAACCTAACGCATATGCCGTACAAGGCATGGTGCGAATTTTGCACCATGCACAAGGCGCGCAGCGACAAGGCCGTTGCAGCACCCGAGCCCAAACGCTCGGTGTCTTTGCTGTCCTTCGACTTCGGGTTTACTGGCAGAGAACTTGATCCCGAGAACAAGCTTATCACTTTGTGCATCAAGGACCGGGACACGGGGTGGCGCGAGTCAATACCCACCAAGCGCAAAGGAGGTCTAGAAAGCACCAGGTTCCTCACAGGTGAGGTTGTTCGCTTGTGCAACGTTCTGGGCTACAATGACGTGACGATAAGGAGTGATCCGGAGCCCAGCTGCCTCAGCCTTCAGCAAGAAATCCAGAAAGCCCGTGGCCGATTGGGCCAGCGAACTAGGCTTGAGCAGGCAGGTGAGGAAGAAAAGGCCTCAAATGGTGCCGCCGAGGAAGCAGTGGCTTCCACACGTCAGCAGGCTTGTGTGCTGCTGAGCGCTTACGAGCATCACACTGGGAAACAGGTGAGCAGCCAGCACCCACTTCATGCATGGGCGATGCGACATGGAAGTTGGATCCTCAATAGATACTGTGTTAGCCGTGACCAGCAAACCCCTTTTGAGTGCACGTTCCAGTCACCGTACACCGGAAAGATTGTGGAGTTTGGGGAATGTGTGATGGCCATGTGCCGCACAGCTATGGCCAATAAGCCTGTGAAGGGTTCTGCTAAATGGGTTAAGTCACTTTGGCTAGGCAAGGCCAATGCCAACGATGGACACCTTGTTGTCACGGCAGGCGGCAGACTTCTGATCACGAGGTCAATCCGCCGCACACCGCAGAGATGGGATGCCTCGCTGCATGATGTCATCAAGGATTTTCCTTGGGATCACCCGGGGTTCGTGGCCGGTGGTCTTGGCAAGATGCGCAAGCAGCGAGAGCCCAAGCCCGTCGAAACCGTTGCAGTGCCAGAGGCTGATGAGGTTGGTGTGCTGGGCCCCGTGAGCCCTTTGCTGACTGCCGGTGATGAGGCGGCTAGTGACCCGACGAGTCCTGAAGAGCTGCCCAGCCTGCCGGTTTCGCCAAGCGTTGAGAGTTCGAGCAGCAGTACAGATGATGGTGGAAGCGTTGCAGGCACTGACCAAGCAGTTGGTGCGCAGCCTGATGCCATGCAAGGTGTTGAGGATGAGCCGGGGATTCTGGCCTCAAACCTGGAGCCAGAGATGCCTAGCGCTGGCGGGGCAGGCGGGGACGGAGATGATCCTGACAGTGTGCAAGAGCGTCCAGCAAAGTCCGCCAGGTTGCAAGCAGTGATTCAGACCGAGCTGTACCACAATGATGCCCAAGTTGAGTTTGATTTCGAGAATGCCGAGCTTGATGAACTTGAAGGGTATGACTATGGGTTGGATGATTACTACTTCAGTGAGGAACCAGACCTAGCCAAAGGTCCTCCCGATGAGCTGTGGCGCCCTTTTGGGCCGACTGAGCCGATGTTGTCAGCGGACGAAATGTTCGCTATTGACAGCGCTGCCGACGATTTCGAGATCCGAAGGTTGTTGTCTATGAACGTGTTGGAGCCCCTCACCGAGGCCGCCGCTACCCAGGCACAGCATGAAGGCTCCAGGTTGTTGTCAACCAAGTTTGTGCGTAGCTGGCGGATAAAGATGCGCAAGTTCCCCGATGGTCGTGAGGAGCAGCAATACCTGAGGAGATCCAGGTTCGTCGGACGAGAGTACGCGTGGCTCGATAAAGAGCGTGCCGAGTTGTTCGCACCCGCCTCGAGCAGTCTGCTGACAAGATTGCTGCCCAGTGTCTTTATGCGGTGTAAAGCCGAAGGCCACGTATGCTGTGTTCTTGATGTGGCAGATGCATTCCTCACCGTGGATCAGCGCATACCCACTGTAGTGCATGCAAGGCTAGGTGACCAGCAGGAGCATGTGCAACATTTCCGTTTGGTGAAACTTTTGCCGGGGCAACGAGATGGAACTGTGCGATGGCATGAAGCTTTTACGGCCTACCTTGACAGCAAGCTTGGACTTGAACCCTACATTCC